ACTAAAGATCAAAGGACTCAGTACTCAGTCGTGACTGAGTCCCAGTCAGGATTGGAACTGGTGCATCCCTATAAAATAAATCATTCCTTTATCTTTATTTTCTAAAGATAAATGATTGGGAAAAAAAGGGTATCATTTATTTTTTAACGATAAAGGATCATTTATCTTTAGGAAATAAAGAAAAAGGATTCATTTATCCTTATTTTTTAAAGTAACACTAAATGACCACCCCTACTATAAGAAAAGTCTACAAAGAAAAATAGAGCAATTCGATAATGATTGAAAAAATGACGTCCAGTATTACCTTTATACGAATATGTTCATTCATAGCTTCTAAGTGCAGGAAAAATGAAAATCAATAAGAGAAATGAATAATACTATAAGAAAACTGTACAAAGAAAATGGAGTAATTCGATAATCTTTACGAAAATGATGTGTAGTATTATTTTATACGTATATGTTGAGTCATACCTGGTAGGTGTGGGAAAATGAAAATGAATAAGAAAAATGACTAATGCTATGGGAAAAATGCATAAGAAAAAATAGATTGATTCGATTATCGTTCGAAAAATGATGTCACTACTATATATATATATATATATACAGGTATGTATATCTAGATAGATAGAAAGATAGATACATACATACAGGATGGCCCAAAAGTTACTTTACCGAAAAACAAAAAATTGGACATCTCCACTACGGCTCGAGCAAACGAGCTGATTTTTTTATCAATGATAGTGGCATGCTTAAGCTTTATATTCATAAAGACATGTCTGGAGAGATCCTTTGTTAAGTGTCACTATTGATCTCAACAAAAAAGTATTACTTTTTCACGGATAGGATATAAAAACAATATACTTAACAAAAGGTCTCTCTAGGCATGTCTTTATGAATATAAAGCTTGATAATGCCTCTATCATTGATAAAAGAATCAGCTCGTTTGCTTTTTTTTTTTGAGTAAGCGTAATGTTTATTACGTCCGTAGACGCTTATAATAGAGTAAGAAAAAGAAAAGGAAAGAAACAAAAATAGGAAACAGAAAAAGAAGAAGGAAAAAAAGGTTAGATTAGGAGAAACGAGAGAAAAGGGGGAGAACTCTGGAAGAGGAGAGTTCATTTAACTATTCATCCTGTGATTATCAATAAATTGAATCCAGTGAATTAGCCCTTTGAGTATCGGCTACGCGAGTTCGCATCCTGATAGTTTAGGGTCTGAATAACTTTAGAAAACATGATCGTTTGATTATTTTATGATATGAATTACATGAACATTTGCATTTAGGATATTTGTACGGTTAAGACTATCTGTACCTAGTGATGAATATTAGTTGTTCCCTAATATTTCTATCGACCACTATGTGATTCAATGGATTAGAACATAAGTCATTGAACAACATTTCCCAAGAAAGAATAATCGTTATCAACAGGATTTTTCATATTAGCACAGTCATTCAAGAGTGTTATCTATAGTAAAGGTTTTGATCGATTGATCACATTTGATAACATTTTCCTTCGCGCATTGAATCAACAGAGATTCAACTAGATCCAAGAAGAAAATGTTACGTTTATGCCAATACTTTGAGAAGAACCAGATCAAGAAGAGATACTTCGTATGAATGCATTGAATGTGATGTAGGATTGTGTCTTGTGGATTGTTTTAAAGACTGTCGCACTCTACAAGCATTTTAATTCATGTACTTTGTGATATTTTTTGCGAAATAAACGTTAGTTTGAAATTATAAAAACTTTTATTATATAAAAATAATCCGATGCTCAAAGGGTTAATCTTCATTCTAAATGTTATCCGTAGCCACCCTTAAAATAATGAATACTTTTTCTATCTTCAATTACGAAAATAATATGACCGTTACCTTTCAAACATCCATTAAATGTTTCAAATGAGAAACTGGTGGGCACTCGTGCAAGTCCATTTATTGTCTCATACACCGTTCCATGTGACATTTTTCTTAGCGACTGTGTTACAATTACGACAAAATGCACCAGTACGCTTAAATTCTAGCAAAACTGTGCGAAATAATTTGAGCACAATCGAATACATGAATAAGTCTTTATTTTCAGTTACAATCAATATCTATTACAGGATTTACGCAACAACACTCTATATGAAGCGAACGAGACTTTGCTCGTTGAACTGAATTCGAGGTGTTGGTGGTGAGTGTGTCGTCGAGTAGATGCGAAACAACTAGAAACTTTTTCAGTTTGCTCTTTTCAAGAGAAGCTGTAATTGACAAAGGAAAGTAAATTTTATTCTTCCATGTAATATATTTGCAAGTGTCGTCAATTTGTGGTCTCCAAAAAAGCCCGAGATCAAATCCAAACCGAAAGCCGATGTTGTTGTACCGAATGTTGACGCATTCGTAATTCGCATCATATATGCGAACTCTTTCATAAATGGATCCAATTCCTGGGCAAAATCGAATAGAGAATCCTGTTTGCATTATAAAGTAAGAAGAAAGAATCGACTTGTGACAACAAATGCCTGCATGTGTAAAAAAAAGAAAAGTGAAGAATAAGAACATAAAACTACATTCATACCGATCTCTTAGAGACAGAACTGATGTCATATAGTGACGAGTTGCGCATATATATTTTTTTTACCAAAGTAAAATGTAACAGAACAACACAAGTAAATACAATAAAAATAAAGCAAAGTTAAAGACATTTTTATAGTCATTTTTGGGCACTTTAAACGCCGTTGCAAATTGACAGAATGAATTGTCGCGATAATTGTAATAACGAAGAAAATGTTCACCAGTAGGACCAACATTGCATAAATAAAGAGTTACAGCAGCGTCTAGCCTAAAATAAAAAAATTGTACTGAACGTGCCGTTGCATAACGCCCATTGAGTCACGTATTTCAGCTTAAATGTACACGAAAAATAAACTAATCAACTGTACATGCCATGGCTCCAAGCCGTTGGGTCACAGTACAGCTTGATCAACTGTAGAAATTGAATGCCTAAGATAATCAATGGGACTGGTATGCCTTTTTGGCTTTGATGTCACTTGACACGACTGGTTTGCCTTTTGGGCTCTGGTGTCACTTGACACGACTAGTTTGCCTTTTCGGCTTTGAATGAAACTTGACAATTGCTCTGCATTTAGTATACTACATTAACCTTTAACAAGGATAAACTACTTAGGATAAGCTATATATTATATATATATATATATATATATATATATATATATAAAGATGAAAAATGGGAAATAGGTGGGCGGGTATTGAAAAGTGTAACTTGAATAAATGCAGATGTTTTAACAAATTAAACAGTATAATACGAATAGCTTTTCACTGAACGAGAGCACAAGAAGATGATAATGAAGTAACAACTTAACAACAATGATAATGAACTTCAAGCAGAAACGAGCGCTATATTCAAAACAATAAAAAAAATAATCAAGCAAGAGATAAGTCGAGTCTACATGGACCTTCTTTAATGTCTCGTTTCCTCCCCATTAAAGAATTAATCAATCTTTTCACCTCAACGAATAAGAATAGCGCAACAGAATTTTCATTATCTCTCTCGTTGTTTACTCGTTTGAATCAAATGAATCATTTTTGAAAATAATCAAATAAGCTACTAACTTTTTTCACATTTAATATGAACATAGTCTTCAATTCTTGTTGCTTTTTCTCTTTTTTCGATACAATATGAATCCTTAGTCGTTAAAGTTCGTTCGTCCATTATTATCTTTGTTTGTGTATTTACTTTTGTGACATACTTAAATTCTTTTCTCACAGTATCTTCTTTGTATTTGAGTTTTTGTCAACGAAAGAATGTTTCAAATCATTTTAGCATATCTCGTTATCTTCTATCAACTTTCAACAGCATTTTCAACCAATTTTGGTATATTTTTTTTTCTTATGTTAATCTAAATAAAATCATGTATCACAGTTTAATTACATTTATTCTAGGCCAATATGATTTGGTAGCGAAAGAAAACAATGATGGAACAACACGATTTTTTATTGTTAGTGATTGGGGTGGTTTACCAATATCGCCATTTGATACACCATCTGAAGTTGCTGTAGCTGATGCAATGGGTAAATTAGGTGTAAAATTAAATACAACTTTTCGATTGGCATTAGGTGACAACTTTTATTATGATGGTATTCGAGCTGTTAATAATTCAAGATTTCAAGTGTAGTGTTTTTTTTCTTACGAAAAACTGAAATTATTTAAAAAAGACTTTTTTCTTGTTAGAATACTTTTGAACATGTATTTTCAGTGACATCATTACAAACTTCTTGGTATGTTTTAGCCGGCAATCATGCTCATAGAGGAAATGTTTCAGCAGAAATTGAATATGGAAAAACATCAAAACGGTGGTTAGTAGACAAATTAATTTTATTTTTCATCTTCGAAAAAATAAATTTCAATATTAATAGGATATTTCCGGATTATATCTATTCATTCTCTCTATGATAAAGTGATAAACAAACGAAATTAATTGATTTTGTCATGATTGATACTGTTGTATTTTGTGGAGGTGGAGGTTTATCAGATTGGGATCATACTCCATTGGAAGGTCCAAAAAATCAATATGTTGCCGAAGCTTATTGGCAATGGATTGAAGAACAACTTCATCAATCGACGTCTGTATTTTGTTGTATATTCATACGAGTTAAATTTTTCTTTGATGGACTTTAGAGTTCCATATTTGCTTGTCAATGGTGATTATCCAGTATATTCAATAGCTGAACATGGTCCAACTAGATGCTTGATTGATCGACTTCATCCATTACTTCATCAATATCATGTAACAGCATATATCTGTGGACATGATCACAATCTGCAAGTAAGAAAAAAAATCAATATTACTTCTATTCATATAAATTAATATTATTTTAATTATTTTTCTCTCTTAGCATTTGACGAATGATATGGATGAAGTACATATGAATTATTTTGTTGTAGGAGCAGCTAATTTCATAGATTCAAGTCAAGAACATGCTAAAGATGTACCAGCTGATTCACTCAAATTTTTTTGGGCAGGTTCATCAGTTTATGGTGGATTTGCTTCGATGGAACACAACCCTACACATTTAAGTTTATCTTTTATTGATCATTCTAAACAAATATTATATCAAGCAATTATGACACCTCATTTCTAACACATGGATTTTTTCATTCATTTTCTTTTCTATATGAATTAATTGAGAAAAATAAAGTCGATCGATAGATTATATATTTTATTTTAGATAGCACATATAGTACAATAAAATTATGCGAAAGAGAAACGTTTTGATCAGATATATAATCTACAAAATATAATGAGCTTTGCACGCACCATGACCGCTAGGATTTCGAATGAAAATCTGAAACAAAATGTTCTTCCACACTTTGTTCATATTATCAAATTGTATGTGCATATCCTCTTTTCATAAGTATATCGATATATGCAAAACTGCAGTTTAAGTACTACTAGTTCGTTTCATCATTTAGTATCAAACATATATATTAATAATACTGCAAGACAATAATTATGAAATATATATCTATTTTCATTTTGAATGAGATAATCAAAAATCGATTGAAGTAAATATAAGTCATTAGTAGAGTATTCTATAAAATCAGAAGAGGGTGTGTGTGTGTGTGTGAATGAGACCTCTCTTCATCCACCCACACCCTTAACATATGCGGTTATCTTTTGATGGACACTAATATGACAAAGCTTCGACTAATTATACTTATTGTTTGTTTGCATGTTGTGTTCGTATTATACTAAGGCATACGACTGCTTGATAGTATCAAATCGATTATTTTAATTATCTGACGTTTCGCTTGTTTCTGTGAAAATTACAATGTATGATATGATATGAATATGTCAACTGTTCACTTTACTGTTTGGCAATTTACTTATGTGTAAATGGGAAGATCTTGAATTTGTATGGATCTTTTAAATTCTTCAACAAATATCAAGTGTGTGTGTGCGTAGATATGGATGAACAGAAACTCATTCCTGCATACAGATCCACAGTCAAGATCCTCTAAGGCAGTTCACATCTATTACTCCTATCTGTAGCAAACATAGGCTTCACAAAAATGAATTTTCTTGAAATTAAACTTTTTTCCACTCATTATAGCCTAATTATATTTGTGAAGACAAGTTAGCATTGACTGAAAGTTCTTCAAAAATTTTATCTTGTTGCGCTCTACAAAATTCACCAATTGAAAAAAATTAAAATTGTCCTAATGCTGCTTTTAAACTTTTTTGAAATGAGTGTGACTGTGGCTCTGTATGTGGGAACGGACTTCTGTTCACCCAGATCCATCCTAAAGCACATAATATATTTCAGAAACACTACAGTGACCTTCGTTTCTAGAGGCTAGCATTAGCCCTTCCGGAAATCTTTCATTTTGACTAGAAAACAATAAAATACTATACCAATGATAAAGACCTATGCAGAAAATGCGCTCTTTCGTGCTGGCTATGTCAAAAAAGGTTTGGATTCGATGGATTGATGAAATAGCAACGTATTCGTTTCTCCAGAATTAGAACCATGTTTGAACCTTCCCTTCCGTAGCACCATGCTTGCATAATTCTGTTCTGTTCTACACATATGTTATCGTGGGTCATAGATTTATGTGCTTTACTTTAATTACTTGTCATTCTTCATAAGTTACTTGTAATTAGCACTATGCCCCCTTAGGTCCCATTATGAATAGAGGATTAAATAAACCGCATCGATTTCAAAATGTTTATATTGGAGGTTGGATTTTCGGTCTTATCCAGCGATGTTCTTTTCTTCTATGTTGTTTCTAAAAGCGCAGATACATATTATCAATAAAATATTCTGTTTATTCGAATATTAGAATGTCTTTAAAGTTGCTTCGTAGAAAATATTCGTTTGTCACTCATGTATGTTTCATTTCAATAATATAACGATATTACTATTATCAGAACTGAAACAAGATAAATATATTGATGAATAAAAAAATATTTATTTATATTTTTCTATAACAATATTATTATTACATAGAGCACAATTAGTAATTCATATTTGATAAACTATCAACGTAGATTCATATATGCACTTCTTTAATTAATATAAAATACATGTTTATATTATAACCATTCAAGTGCGTTTACTTTACAGAGAAAAAAAATACGTATTTTGTCGATGATGAAGAGAAAAGAACGAATACATACATCACCGTCATGGGTGGTCTTCTAAATATTTACATTCGTTCGGTTGCTTGCTTGTTAATATATAAGTTATACTTCATGTAGCAGTTGACATAACGAGTCAGTGAGGACGAAAATTAAAATGTTTTCCTCGTATATATCATACCTTTTTTCACTACTCATTTTCCTTGTAATTCATCGAATCCATGGTACAAATGTTAGTTTTGTTCCACAGCCAATTTATATAACAATTGCTGATCTTCCACAACCCTACGCTACAACATCTACTTCTAAAACACCTCAAATCACTTCTATACCGGCAGATCCTCGCCTCTACGTTCCTGATGGATTTACGGTGAAGTTATATATGAATGGACTCTTATCACCACGTTATCTTATCTATACACCTGCAAATGATATTCTCGTTAGTGAATCAGGTGCTAATCGTATTTCATGTCTCGTAGATAATAATAATGATGGTTATCCAGATGAACGTTTGACATTTGCTAATCAATCCAATGAACTTAATTATCCATTTGGTATGGCTTTTGTCAATGGATACTTTTATGTTGGTAATCGAAATGCTATCCGACGTTACTCTTGGACTTTTGGAAGTCGACAAATTACAGGTACGGGTGAAATAATAATGACTTATCCTGAAACTGGTCATGCAACGCGAACTATCGTTATATCACCGAATAGTGATCGAATATTTGTTAGTATTGGTTCAGTATCTAATGTCGATGTTGAATCATTACCACGAGCGTCTGTTCAACAAGCAAATCTCGATGGTAGTAATCAAACAACATTTGCTTATGGTCTTCGAAATGCTGTCGGTTTAGCTTTTCATCCAGTAACTAATGATCTCTATACAACATGTCAAGAACGAGATCAACTTGGTGATGATCTTGTTCCTGATTATTTTACACGTATTCAACAGAATGATTTTTATGGATGGCCTTTTGCATATATGAGTGCAAATTTAACTGATCCAAGACGACGTCTAAGTAATGGAACAAGTGAACGACCTGATTTAGTGTCACTTACACGAACACCTGATGTTCTTTTTCAAGCTCATTCAGCTGTACTTGATATGCGATTTTATACGGGCAATCAATTTCCTAGTCGATATCGAAATGGTGCTTTTGCAGCATTTCATGGTTCATGGAATAGAAATAATGGAACTGGTTATAAAATTATCTTTATTCCATTCAATAATAATACTAATCTACCAATGGGTTACTATGAAGATTTTGTTAATGGATTTCTAATCAACCCATCTGGACCCGATACATTTGGAAGACCAGTTGGAATACTTGCTTTGAAAGATGGTAGTCTTTTATTTTCAGAAGATGGCAATAATTGTCTTTATCAAGTTCAGTACAAGCAGAGCTTTAATAATACTAACAACATCAGTACTGTTACTAGCAACACTACTACTACCGTCAATATAGCAGTCACCAATGGCATAACTATTCATTTTCAAAACTCTGTCATCACACTTCTACTTTCACTCTTCGTATATTCTTTTTGTGCCTATTTTTTCCTTTCTCAATATAATTAAACGGCGAGCAATGCAACATTTTTTCGAAAAAATGTCGTACTATTTTTTGTGTAAGCTAAAATAGACTTCGAACAAATTAAAACTATTTCTTCGGCGTTCATCTCGGAATAAATTTTTTATTGTACGTTCAAAAAGACTCTTATAATGTCTTTTGTTTGAGTAAACATCACATTTTTGAATAATACTTACAAGGTAAGTAGTATGTAAAAAATGGTTGGAAATAGCTATGACAAAAGATATTGATTTTTCAGTATTTTTTACTTGTCTTCTTTGGGTTTCATCGTAAAATTCGTTCTTTATATTATAAATTCACCGTTGAATTCTCGAAAATATTTCGTAGCAAACAGTATAATATTGCTTAACGTAGATAAGAGGACGGAAAAACTGAATGAGAAAGACATAAGAAAAATCATTGAAATTCAATATAGAAACGGTGATGGATTGATAGCATATTTTTCGAGGTTTGAATGGTACTTTTTTTATTACATGAAATTCAATAGTGACTATATAAATCGATCCATATATGTCCGTGATCCTCCTCATAATCAGATCGAAAAAAAAATCAGTCAAAACATCGTTTTCATTATTTGTTCATCTGTCATTTCAGAATTTCCTAGCATTTTAAAAACTTAGAAGTAATTTTTTACAATCAAACTGATATTTTGCTTAACTTTACTTTTCAACGTTACCATGAAAGAAATCATAGTAGAAGTTTTGCACGAAAGTAAAAGTTGTCGAAGGATTTTGTAACACTTCTCTCTACTTTGGTCGAACGTAAAAATATCGAAAACAAAAATAATAGAAATGTCAAACGATATCAATATTGATAATGATATTCTGATAGTAAACAAAGTGATTCATCGGTCTATTTCTTATGTTACCTTTGTGACGCACATGAAAGCAATTACTCAAAAGTACCATGTGTACACATACATCACTTTGTTAGCGAAAAAGAATCAAAAAGAAAGTAAACGCAAAAAGCCATGTATATATGGCTGCTACCAATGATTCATATGATCGTCAATTTTGTCAAGGCATAATTAGTGGATCTATCGTATAGACTTCAGCGTTGACTGAATGATAGACTATTAATGACTGTGAATATTTAAGATTAACAGAAATGGAATAGTATCGGGCGCTGTTTTCACAAATACTCAGATTGATTGGTACTGATGTTTGTTGAACATTACTTTCTTCAATCATCCGAATATTGTATAGTTGTGAAGATTTTCTTTTCACTCACATACACACCCTCAGACTGGTTCTTCTACGAGTGTCGTACCTGGTTAACAAAGATTGGCAGCTCCGACTCCGAAGTAGCCGCTCTACGGAGCTGGAGCGAGAAAATATCAAATGGATGCCGTGAACTGTGGTTTTCCCCCATCCATTTTTATCATTTAAGACAGAATCTGATGAACATC